AAATATATACATTCGTACATGTGTATATGTATGCATGTATATAATATTTTTTGAACCTCCCTCAAATGTTCTTCTGGCTAATCAAGCACAACATGGCATTGATAAGCCTATTGCCAAACTGGATGACTGTGGCATTACACTTTTTCTTTTTAGTCAGTAATGTTGGAAGTTTCAACCATTTGAATAAGAGGCAGGGGACAAGAGACGACTTCCCTCTTCAAGCATCTCTCTGTAAAACCTGTGCTCCAGGGTTTGCTGTCATTACAAAGTGCTAGCTTCAGGACAGGGGAGGGGAGCAGGAAGAGAGGTCTGCGCCTCTCAGCAAGGTAAAGGGGTGGGCTCAGAAACAGAGCCCTGACTCCAGCCACACCCCTGACAAGCCCAATGACCTCAGAGAACCCGCACATGTCTCGAACCCCTTCTCAACAGGTTGGCAGTAGTTCTGCCCACCTCACAGATGTGCTGCAAGGGGGAGTTAAGTACAAATGATTGCAATAAATACAACCCCGTGCAGGGAATGCTGAGCAATGGCTATAAAGAAGCAGTGCAATACATTCACCATTCACCATGCAAGGATACCCTAACACTAACCCCCCCACAAAAAAATCATTAACATTTTGTAAACCATCAGCTTTGTCAAAACCTGAAAAGCAGAACAGATGTATTTATATGTAATATTCCAGCAACTGCTATGGGGTAGGTGCTAAGGCCTTTTACCAAAAAAAAATCTGCCCTCTGCCCTTAAAGAAATAAAAATTAGACCTTGTGCTTATTCATGAGAAAGGAGAAGTCCCATTCTGTTTTTGAGATGGATCACCTTTTTAAGATAATACTTGGCCAATTCATCGATTAGAAATCATCTCCTTACCATCTAACGTGAACAAACTTCACTGCTCCCCTTCAAGAACTGGATTCAACAAAGAACCATATCAACCACTTTCTGAAAACATCCCTACTAGTCTCCAGGGTCCTTGAAATCTTAGACCTTCTATTTTGGGTTTGTTAAATAAAATGAATGAATGAATGAGTCAATACTACATTTTAAAATAAGACACTTCTATCGTTAGGGTCAACTCTGGGATGGAGAGAAAGAGCATGGAAGGGAAGACATACAAGACTGGGGGTGAATGGTAATTAATCATCCTATTTTCAACCTTCTTTTAAGGTCAATTTTCTAGATGATTTAGCTCATTATTAACTGCACAGTGATGAAAATATGACAAACCCCTACCCAAACACACCTTTGGAATTCCTATAAGTACATCCCAGAACAAATCATTGGAAGAGGGAGAACAACCACTGTTGAGGATTTAAAAAAAAAAAGGTCTTGATGATTATGAGATTTGTGCTAGCTTTTACAAGCTTTGCCATATTTATTGTGTTTCTGTCTGCAAAGATAAAAACAAACATTGTCAAAAAAAAAAGAAGGAAAATGACAATTATCCTCCAAACTGTAGCTACATTGCTAGGAAATACCTGGCCAGCTCTGCAACATCTACACCCAGGAAAATTTAGCCTCTAGAAAGTACACATTTTAGAACATGCTCTGTTCAAGGAGAGAAGGTAAATTGTGGATATTTTGAAAGTTATAAAAAGTACACCAAAACCTCCAATTTAGCTGGTACCTACATTACGGCTGCCTTTGGAACAGCAAAAAATATTTTACTGCAGAAGGGTAACTGCATGCCAAATGGTAAGCATGTTTTCTACACCCAGGAAAATTTAGCCTCTAGAAAGTACACATTTTAGAACATGCTCTGTTCAAGGAGAGAAGGTAAATTGTGGATATTTTGAAAGTTATAAAAAGTACACCAAAACCTCCAATTTAGCTGGTACCTACATTACGGCTGCCTTTGGAACAGCAAAAAATATTTTACTGCAGAAGGGTAACTGCATGCCAAATGGTAAGCATGTTTTACATAGGAGTTATTATAATGCTATTAATAAAGTTATCCCTACCTAGGTTCAGGAATATCATTGGTCCATTCAAATACCAGTTAGACAGAAGTGTGCAGACCACTGGGAGTGGGCTCTGGGCGCTTGCACAGGGGGAGGCTGGATGGGGGCGGGGAGAGGGCGACAGAAAACATCTCGTGTTATGCATTCTCTGTGAAACATCAGGAGGTATTTCTTACGGAAAGAATTTCTGAATTGTGAAAACAATCCTAAGTAGCAATCATAGGGATGTTGGAGTGTTGAAATTTGAGAACGGAAGAATGCTGATGAGCAGAGGTGATGGACCAGAGCCATGCCCTTCCATGTACATATTTCTGACTGATTTCCATTTCCAGACAATTCTGTCCACACCAACAGGAACAAAAACAACAGATTCACCCCAATGCTGCCTACACATGCCTCATTAACCAGACCAGAGGACCTTTCCAAGGTTGGGTCAGTGAGAGAGATTTGTTTCTTTTGTTCCTGGTGTAATTTATAAGCCCTCTGAGGAGAATGTAAATAGATGCAGCTCAGGAGCTACATCGTTTTCTAACTAATTCTTTTGGCCGGGAAATCAAGAAGCAACTCCATAGACTGCAGGGGCCTAACAGGAATCTGACGTCATGTCATTACTGTGGGCTTTGGCCACTGAACTGAAATTAACGCCAAATGGAATTTTTGTTATTGAGAATTTAGTTTAAAAAAAAATTACCTCAGGCTTTTGTTATGTTACATGTGATCATGTACTCCAGCCAGGCTGAGCCTCAGGCCACTCCCTATGCGGACCAGGATTTGACAAGAGCATACTCACCATGGTGGATGCTGATGGATCTGTGCCTCTCACCCTCTCCTTATTACCCTTTCCACGCCTCAAGAATCAGCTTGGGCAGCCCAGCCTTCCTCAGGAAGCCTTCCAAGGCCTAATGTGGGCCAGACACACTTGTCATACTGTTATCTGATCAGCAGTTTATCTCTTGCACTAGAATGTAAACTCTGACAACAAGGATCCCAGGCAGCGGCTAAGAGCTGCCTGGACTGGGGTCCAGCTCCACTTACCAGCCGTGTGCCCTCGGGCAAGTTCCTTTATGTCTTTATGCCTCAGTTTTCACTTCTGTGACAATACTATTGCTTATTTAACTGGGTTGTTACAAGAATTAAGAGGGTTAATATGTCTAAAACACCTGAAATACTGAGGTCTATGTAAGTGTGCATTGAGGTAATTGTTATTTTCTTGTTATTCTTATTGTTCACCATTATTATTTACCCTGTATTCCTGGTGACTGGAAAAATACATAGCACATAGTAGGCACCCAACTGAATGTTTGAGGAACGGAGGAAGGAAGGGTGTCATAAAGTGAATGGACTCAATAAAACTACAGTTAAATTGCATCTTTCAAGAATACAATCAACTCAAAAGTTCTCATAATCATGTATTTCCCAATTACATTATACAGGATAATCATTACTCAAAATTAAAACCCTAGACTAGTCCATACTCCTGATCTTAGTCTGAATAATCAAAGGAATATTAAATTATTTTCAGTACAAGAGATAAACAGCCAATCACATAATAACTAACAGTATGGCAAATGTGCCTGGTGCATATTGGGCCAGTATTATTTTCAGTACCATTTCCAGGTTATGTATCACATTGCATTCTAAATTCTTCAGAACGTGCTATCCCCCAGTGGTATCGATAGCGATTCTTAAGAAACCAAAATACTTAAATTATTAGATGCTCCAAATCCCAACATCTCTGAATAAATTATCATTTCACTATATTTTAAGGCCAAAAAAAATCACTACAGGAATTAGATACTTCTCTGATTATATGTTTGTTTAGTTTTCTGTTTTGGTACATGTTAATTTTGAAGTTGCTAAACTAATCTCATATTCCCCTTTGAGAAGTTGAGGGGTCCATGGGAGCTGTGTGTGTGTGACAGGGATGGAGTAGCCAAGCCACCCTCATGTGGAGATTCCAATCGGCAGGATCACTGCCAGCTCATTGCCCCCCTTTGAGCACTAAATTTAGGCCAGTCATTTGTTACCCAGCATGCAAGCAAATATATATCATTCCTGTTGAGTTCTGCACACGGCTACTCTTCCATCTGAGTCACACCACTAACCCAGAAAGGCATGACCCATTTTCAAAAGTGCAAAAAGTTAGGTCAGCACCCACATCTGGGGTGCCAGGTCTTCTGTATTAAATATTTATGGGGTATCTGAGTAGAAATATTCAAACAAATCAATACTTTCCATGACCTTGAGCCAGTTTGCTTGGGGAGGATATTTCCCATTCATAGATTCATACCTTTAATTCTCCAATGGAGGAAAGTAGTCCTGCTCCATAGGCCCGCAGCTGCCCTTCTTGTTTGCAGAGGCCAAACTCAATTGTGAAGAAATAGCACTGGGGAGAAAAACAACACGGACGCACATCTAGTGAACAGGTCAACACTATGCTGCAGAATGAAATGGCACCCCAGGTAAAATGGTGCACTGTACATCATCTCTCCAACACTGTCTATTTCAGTACATTTGAGTCAAGAACATTTATTGAAATCTATTCTCTTGCTTAATGATCCCTCCCTATGTTAAAGATATGGAAAAAGCAGTAACTACTAAGAGTCTAAGCTTACTGGATTCAGAAACCCATGAGAAGTTGAGGGGTCCATGGGAGCTGTGTGTGTGTGACAGGGATGGAGTAGCCAAGCCACCCTCATGTGGAGATTCCAATCGGCAGGATCACTGCCAGCTCATTGCCCCCCTTTGAGCACTAAATTTAGGCCAGTCATTTGTTACCCAGCATGCAAGCAAATATATATCATTCCTGTTGAGTTCTGCACACGGCTACTCTTCCATCTGAGTCACACCACTAACCCAGAAAGGCATGACCCATTTTCAAAAGTGCAAAAAGTTAGGTCAGCACCCACATCTGGGGTGCCAGGTCTTCTGTATTAAATATTTATGGGGTATCTGAGTAGAAATATTCAAACAAATCAATACTTTCCATGACCTTGAGCCAGTTTGCTTGGGGAGGATATTTCCCATTCATAGATTCATACCTTTAATTCTCCAATGGAGGAAAGTAGTCCTGCTCCATAGGCCCGCAGCTGCCCTTCTTGTTTGCAGAGGCCAAACTCAATTGTGAAGAAATAGCACTGGGGAGAAAAACAACATGGACGCACATCTAGTGAACAGGTCAACACTATGCTGCAGAATGAAATGGCACCCCAGGTAAAATGGTGCACTGTACATCATCTCTCCAACACTGTCTATTTCAGTACATTTGAGTCAAGAACATTTATTGAAATCTATTCTCTTGCTTAATGATCCCTCCCTATGTTAAAGATATGGAAAAAGCAGTAACTACTAAGAGTCTAAGCTTACTGGATTCAGAAACCCATGAGTGAAATCCTATCTCCTGCAATAATTTTAAAAATAAAAAAACACAGATTTAGAAATGAATGAATATGTCACAATGAAAACACCATAAGAATATGCTACTATATTTACTAAGCTGAATTTCAGTGACTTAAGTTCATGCAAATGTAGGAAAATAACTTGGAATCCAGCAATCCCAAACTGATTTTTGCCGTTTGTTTATTCATTCAACAGACACATGTTGAGTACCTGCTAGCTGCTAATGCTTGGCAAAAAACTGCGGTAAGGGAACAAAAGAGAAACCAAGAAAGCAGGTGCATGCCTACCAAATTACCAAAACCACAATTTTAGTATGATTTTTTTAGTGAGATCTTATATGTACAGCTATGTGTGTATGTAAGAACATATAGTAAGAACCATTTCATTGACCTGCATTTTACCAGCATCAACTTCTACAAGCTTTCCCAAGATATTAAAATCTACAATTGTGTCTACTGAATTTAGAAAACTAACATAGACAGACAGAAATCTCTGTACAAGCAAAAAACTCACTACGTTCTTGAGAGGGGTTGAAATCACACTATTTTTGCTGTGAGACAAAAGTGAGAGGCTGACAATAAGCAATAAAAATTGCATCAAATTAACACTGTCCTGTGTTAGTGATGATGGAGCACTGAAGAGGTTGAGAAAGACAAAAATTTAAACACCCCTGGAAAGGGGCAGAAAATGCTCATTATTTCTAGCCCTTGGCATTTGCTCTATTTTTACTTGGAGGGTAAGATGTCCCTTGGTTCAGGAGGGCCTGTATTTTTCAATGTGGAGATGATCTCTGAAGTCAGGCCAGCCAGTGCTCTGCAGCTCTGGGCTGGCCCCGAAGGACTGGTCATTCTAGGCCATGCAGCTGAACCTCCTGGGGCAAGACTTCCTTTCCGATTCACCTCCCAAAGAGCCTCCAATTGCAGTTCTTCCCACCCAGTCCCCACTCACAGCACCCACCAGCTCGCCTCCTTACTCTGCTGTGTTTTCTGTTCCATCACACTGGTTTCTGACATGGTCTCTCATTTCTTTATATATGATCAATACCATCCATCACCCATCTCCCCACCCTAGACCACAAACTCCAAGAGAGCAGGGCTCTGCCGGGTCATCTAGAACAGGGCTTCCCAACCTCAGCACTACATGCTTTACTGGGGGCTGTCGTCTAGGTGGGATGCTGAGCAGGGCCTGGCCTCTGGCTCTGGATGCCAGAAGCACCTCCATCCCAGCTCTGACAACCAACAATGTCCCTAGACATTGAAAAGTGCTCCCAGGGGAGCAATGCCACTCTTGGTTGAGAACCAATGATACAGAATAGTGCCTGACACATACTAAGAGCTCAGTAAATATTTGGGGAATAAATAGTAAATGAAAGAATAATCTTGAAGGGAAGCCTGTTGTGTGGCAGCTTCACCTGGAAGAAAGAAACACATGAGAAGACTCAAGTTCTGCTTCCAACGAGCTACATGACCATAGCCTCTCGGGCTCGTAATTTCCTGCCTGTGACACCCTCTCGGCCATTCACTTCTTCCTCAAACCCTCCTTGAGCACCTGCTGTATGCCAGAATCATGGAGGGGCTTGAGCTGCTCAGGCTACACAAGGGACAAGGCTACAAAGTCCGCAGACCCCTAAGGCACATATGCTATAGGATGAGACAGGCAATAACGGGAACAATGACAAAAACCTATATACAGGATAATTCCAGGCAGAATATGCTGTATAAATAATCAAGCCATGCACTGGGTCAGATGTTAAGCAGAAGACATGGCTGTATAGGACGCAGTGGTCTGGGAAGGCCTCTCTGAGGGAGTGATATTTAAGCTGCATCCTGCTTGGAAAGTAGCTTCTCAAGCCAAGAGCTAGGGGAAAAGGTGTTTCCAGCAGAGGAAAGAGCAAGTGCAAAGGCAGGAACAGATTTGTATTTCCAGGGGCAATGGGGAGCCACTAGAGGGTCTGAGGCAGAAGAGAGACATGCTCTAACCTGGTTTTCAAAAGTTCATTCTGGTGCTGGGTAAAGAAGTGATTGGGGCTGGAGGCAGGTGGAGGGTGCTGAGGGGCCAGATGGAGGCAGAGAAGCCAGTCAGAAAGTTGAAAGTCAGCCAAGAGGCAAGGGAGGTGAGTCACTTGGGGGTCATCAGGGATTGGGAGAAGTCAGTACCACAGAGATCTCATGAGAAGAAACAAAACAAGACACATGAAAATGTATTGAAAAGTTAAAATTTAGCCCTCAAGTCTGTCCTCCAAAAATTTTGCACAATTTGGGGCAAAATGAAGAGAAGTGATCATACATAGTCACAGAAAAGAGTCGTGGAAACTCAGCCTTTCATTTTCCAAAAGGAAAAATCAAGTTTAAGGCAATGAAGTGAGTTCCCCAGGACCAGTTTAGATGGTGACATTTAAGAGATCTAGAGCTCAGTATCTTAAACAGCTTAACATCTGTTATATTTTAAAGTTTCTATGTAAAAGATTGACAGATGCATGATTTTCCCTTACAACCAAAAAATGGAGAAATAAGTGTAAAACAGAGGAAAACTAGACATTCATTCATTCTTCTTAGTGTGTCTTTGGCTCATTTCCCAAACTTATATTGCATTATAGCACATGATGTGAAATTCTTGGAGCCTTATCATTGAATACAGTGAAGTTTGTGAAAAAATGTTCCATTGTGTTTTAAAGCCACCAAAATATGCATATGGAGCCAACACATTTAGGTCAGCCTATTAAGAGTATTTTTAATTTTCCTTATGCTACATCAACACATACATAATACTTGGTCATGGTTACAATCTAAAATCAAAACAGGCTGAAAGAGCCCCTGAGAAAATTTGTGTGCCACACACACATGGTCACATAGATTTGGCATCCCATTCTGCTTTAAGGCAGGAATTAAAAGGTCTGCATCAACTCAGCTGAAGATTCAAAGCCAAATCCATCAGGGTATCTTTGGTCCATGTGTTTCTAGATCAGAGCAAGATCAAAGCAAAGAGCCCTGTGCATCTTTCTTCCTACCACCCAGAACGCTCTGGCCCCATACCTTGTCTGGAGTCCTTCCAAGAACTCTCACCTTACACAGCTCCATCTGCTCATTCCCCATCTACTTTTCCCTTCGCTTTCTGCTGCCTTTGACCAATGAAGGTGCCTAGATGCTTCCACAACTCATCTCCCCAGAGAACTAGACCGTTTTCTTTGAGACAGATTTCCATTTGCAGCTCCATGTGTGGCTAACAGATCATGAGAAACGGTAAATGCATCTGAACCTCAGGTGTTAGCAAAATTTGAATGGTGGACTTGCTCAGGATAATTTTTTCTCTTTCTGTTTTCAATACCTGTGGAGACCTCAGAATGCAGAGCTCCCTGGCCATGGCCATTAATGGAAAGGAGAGGACAACTGCACATTTCTTCTGTCTGGTTCTAAATGCAGAGCCTGCTTAGTGCTGGAATGGATGACCCCTTGAAGACGTCTCAGAATCCAAGGATAACTAATTGCTTCTGCCATTTTAAGAAAATGTCATTTGTTTTCCCCAGAGCACTCTCCAGATGTGAATCTATAATATATTCCCTAGAGATTGACTAAATAAATATCCCACCTATTATCAAAACACAAAGCAAAAATAATAACAAAAAACCCTGACCCTTATGAGAACACCTGTAAAAGAAAATTGTAGATTTTTTGGCCAGTAACATCTTTTAAACAAAAACAAATAATAAAACCTAACACCTCCCAAACTGAAAGGTACCCTTCATCAGGACTGACATTCATGAATTCCAAATTTTATATACTACTAATTATGTCATTATTTATAAATATTTTATTTGAATATAATTACATGGAATGATTAACTGAAAACCAAAACAGGAATGATAGATCAGAAGAAGAGCAGAGTCATTTACATACACACAATCGTTAAGCAGAAGAAAAGTCTGAGTGACAACCTAAAATCCAAACCCTGCCCTGGAAAGTAGCCACAGGATGTGCTACGGGGAGTGAGCAAAGGGAAAGGCGATAGGTCGCCCAATGCTGCCATCTTCAGATCACTGCTGGTAGTGCACCACTCTCACCACAGCTTCGACCGAGCCGGATGGGCTGCAGGAAAGCTCGAGGACGCAGGATCTTGAGACCCTGAACACACCAACAGGCACACACTCGTCCCACGTGGTGATTTACAGAAGCACACGACGCCCCATCCTTCGTATGCTTGGGGTTAGGTACCTGAAGCTCTTGCTAAGGAACCTACCTACTCCAATTAAGGAGATACATGACTTCTTCAAACTACTCTTCATGGAAAAGAAACTCATTATTTCCAATTTCCCTCTTAACGGGTCCTTTTACCTCCCACTCCCTGCATCTCTTGAAATAATTACATAACCTCTTCCTGAGAGTCACTCTATGTCGTTAAATATAGAGGGATTAAAAGGAGCCCACAGACTTCCGGGAAGAAGCCCCTGCATGCTCCTTTCACTTTCTCCAGGAAACTGGCTTACACACGTCATTTTCGAAATGCCCTAGTGAGTGATATATTTTCCCTACCGCCTTTACTAAAAACTTGATCTTTACATGCTGGTAGTATATATTTTTAAATAATCACATACATCATTCCACACCTAGAATTCCACTGTCCCCATAGCCAGGACAGAGGCAGAGAGCAAGAAGCTAGCAAAGGGAGTTTGAAAAAGCCCTAGCCGAGATGTGCTGAACACAACAAAAAGTGAGGTGATAAATTTGATTTCCTTTACATATAA